AATGCCAGATCTTAAAGCCATTGCTGACCCTGAGCCTGGGGGAGCAGGTCGACGTCACTATGTGTTCTCCGTCAGGACACCAGGAGAAATGTGTGGTGTCTTCAGCCTGGGGTTTCGACACCTGCTTGTATTTCTTCACGTCCCAAACTTCCATCTGCCCTCGCAGGTTCCCGAACCCGGCCAGGACGAGGATGTGACCCTGGGGGCTGTAGAAAGCCACGTTTCGGGGACCCGTGCCGAAGTCGAACACAGACTCACACTTGTGGTTAAAGACAGTCGCCTTGGCGGGCATGAAACCATAAACCACACAAAACTCTGAAGAGTTGGGGTTCCAGGATACATCATATATGGGGCCGTTCTTTGCTGTGCAGGACAAAAAAAGCATAGATATAGTCATTAATAGAATGATTTATGTGTTATTATGTATGAACACTTTACATTTACATTTAAATAATATATATTAATTCAATTACGTTAATGAGAAAACAATAATGCAAAAACATCTTAATATAAACCTATAAAAAAGGTTTAATGTCCTTCAAAACAGACAATACCATTTGGGGTTGGAGAGAGTCTATTCTGCTCAACAAGGATGCATTTATTTGATCAAAAATACAGTAAAAAGAGTAAAATTATGAAATATTATTACAATTTCAAATAACTGATTTCTGTTGTAATATATAGTAAAATATAATTTATTTCTGTGATCAAAGCTGAATTTTCAGCATCATTACTCCAGTCTTCAGTGTCACATGATCTTCAGAAATCATTCTAATATGCTGATTTGCTGCTCGAGAAACATTTCTGATTATTATCAATGTCGAAAACAGCTGTGCTGCCCAATATTTTTGTGTGGAAATTTCAAATGTATATATTATAAATTTATATAACATATATATATATGTATAATGTATATATATGTTTAAATATTTTTTGTCCAGTCAGTGCAACAATTATATAATATCAGTGAGTTTAATTGTTAAAGACAGAAATTGATTTCTATAGACTCACTGTAATTATTTTTTTATTAATAATTCAATTATTGATGGATCATTATTCAAAAAGACGGAGTCGTACTTACGTAGCTGAACTACTGCACTTTCTCCATTGGTGGCGACATAATGTAACGTCTGTTCTCCATAGTAAGAGGCTCCTGTTTTATCAACCTCTGTGCTGGCGGTCACTAGAACCGCAGTGGCTTTGGGAAAGACCAGAAAGCATGAATACGTATATCAAAGCCTCATATCAAAGTTGATGATAATGTTGAGAAACCAACAGTAATTATCTACCTTTTTTGTTCCACAGCATGGATACTTTATCGGCTTTGAAAAAGCTTTTGTTTGCCAGAGCAGATGTTGGACCTCCGAAATTGGGATACTGATACAGCCGTACAAACGACGGAGCTCCTTTGCTTCCAGGAACATAAACGGCAATCTTAAGCAACACGAGAGGGATTAATATTCATTTCTAGGAGTAAAACAGCATATACAGCAATGAGAGGAAATGTCTGAAAGCGTTCTGATACCTTGCTCGGCTGTGATCCAGGAGACAAAGCAAACTCAGACACCTTCTGAAGGTGAAGCTTGTTGGCGATAGTTTCTACACAATAAAACACGTTATTGTTTAAAGTATCTGTCATGATATCTGACATTTACTTCATCTAAAAATCAGTACTTTATTTTACTAATTCTTATTTTTATTTTTTTATCACAATTGCAAGCTACGTAGAATGGCTGTGCTACTAAAATTCATTTATCTTATCATACAAGATTCATTAAAAGAATAGTTCACCCCAAAATGACAATTTACTCAACCTCGTGTGGAGAAATGTAGCATTGCATCACTTGCTCAGCAATGGATCCTCTGCAGTGAATGGGTGCCGTCAGAATGAGAGTCCAAACAGCTGATAAAAACATCACAATAATCCACAAGTAATCCACACCACTCCAGTCCAGCAGTTAACATCTTGTGAAGGGAAAAGACTCTCATTGTTTGGACTCTCATTCTGACGGCACCCATTCACTGCAGAGGACCCATTGGTGAGCAACTGATGCAATGCTACATTTCTCCAAATCTGATGAAGAAACAAACTCATCTACATCTTGGATGGCCTGAGAGTGAGTATATTTTCAGCAAATGTTCATTTTTGGGAACTGCTCCTTTAGTACAAACAACAAAAAAATCTAACTACTAAAATTGTGAGAAATCTAAAAGAAATATTGAGCACAGACACTTTCCTTTATACATTCATATCAATTTGAAACTACTAAAAAAATGTCAATGTTATTTATCAACTTGTTTCCACCCAGTTTAAATATAACGTGCCAAAGAACACCGTGTTACCAAAGTTGTTGTTCTCAAAGAAGTGAAGTTCATTATTGACATTTCTAACAGTAATACTTTCATCATCTGCCCAGCTCGGACACCTGCGCAAATACAGACAACGAGCGTGTTTTACAATTACAGACAGATCATGAATAAACTGACAGTAATCAAACTAATTCTGCATTCCATTAACATTGTTATGAACATTATTACTAGTCCCTCACCATCCCGTAACCTTCTTCTGATAGAATGCTTTAATGCAGGCACCAGTCTGCAAGTCCAGCAGCTGCAGGTTTGCCTCTCCCTGAGGGTTATCCTGCGTTTCTGAAAAATAAAAACTGTTGCTGGTGGTTTCGAAAGGCAGTAAAGTGCATTTGAGTTCTGAGTGATTTTAGCATATTACTATGCATTTGCTAAGGTGTCCTGGCTGGTTGCTTACTTAGGTGACATTTTGTCTGTTCCTATATTTATTATAAAGCTAGAATGTCATAGAAAATCTTCCTATCATATATTAAAAGCTCTTACTGGTATATTGCTGCCAGGTGGCCAGAACTTTATTGAGAGGTGAGAATTCCAGTGCGGTGGTTTTGGGTAAATCAAAAGACTTCACCAAATCTCCAGTGGAAACTTGGATCACACTGACCCTATTAAACACACACAGGACAGTTATTAATCAAACATCAATTTGAACTACTATGAACTCTACAATGCTGAACACGTACTGTGAACCATTGCACCAACCGAACAGGGACCCGTCGCTGCTGAACGTCATGTATTTGCCTTGCCGTTCGTCTCTGAAACAAATTAAACAGGTGTTGTTAATAAAAACGACAAAGTTTCAGGTCAAATCTTTCTCAGTGCAGTAAGTCACCTCTGAAAAGCAGCGCTTTCCTGACAGCTCGGAGGTCCACACAACAGAAACGTGCCATCTGATCCTCTGACTGTTTGAAATGAAACAGACTATGTTAAAACCAGGAAAGAAAAGACTTCCTTGTTAGACTAGCTTGTTCAGCCTTGAAGATTGAAGGTTTTAAATCTTGTGCAGATTTAGGACATAATATTAGATTTAGGACTTAATATTAGGACAGTTTGGAAAGAGATCTGAAGTTTGCAGCACTGTACAGACAGAGGGACAGATAGACGGACAGATTTTGGCAATATGGGAGGATTTGTAACTCTCAACTATGGAAAATAATAAGTCTACTAAGTCAGAACAAGCTGAAGGATTTGCTGATGTATGTATGGATTTTATTGATGGATGTAGCTTGAAAACTACCGGTATATTAGTTTCAATAATTGGTCTCAAGATAGTGATTTAAAAATAAACAACAACAAACCCTGACCAAAGGTCTATTATGGTGGCTTTGTCAAGCCTGCTTAAAAACGGTTTCTTCTGAACTCATGACATGCATCCTTTTAACCCATTTATCAGCTGATCATTAGCTAAATATTATATAGAATTTTTAATATTTCATATTTGCATATGCGTGCATACGATGGTACGCTTTACAGCAATACTCTGATTTCTTTAGAATTACGGTATAACATTTTTTTTGCGCATATGACGGGTTTATGAATGAGTTTATGCGTGAATATGTCTGCAGAACTTGAGAATAAATAACATGTGAGTTATTTCATGACATGCTCCCCATCTCACGTTGATTACTTCTCTTTACGCCACTGAAAGGAGCATGAAATATACATTTAAATATAGCGTCAACTCACCTGCTAAATGAGGTGTGGGGGGCGCCATTTTGAAACGGAAGTACGACAACGTGTCACGTCACAGGATTCCGCGCAGACGTCACTATAGAGCGTTTCGGTTGAGCCAGAGTTTGAGTGTAAAATGTCAAAACTAAATCCATAAAGTAAAGTTTTATTTAGTTTGATTGCCAGAAAAGGATTTCTCAAAATTACTATTGTTTTTATCTCAATGACAAATTACAGATTTATGGACTAGATTTGATTTGGTGTGTGATATTCATTGTCATTTTTTTTTTTGCATTTAGTTCAATCGATATTTATTGTCAAGTCTTTTGAAAAACAAAAAAACAAAAACGAAAATAGCATAATAAAAACCAATAATTTCGTCTTTTGATTACATTATTGTTTTACTCAAAAATCAAAGAGAAGTTTCCAACTAGGCAAAAAAAGAAAAAAACAATGACGTTTATCCTGAATGGGCATTTTTAAAAAGAGAATGTGTGAGTTTTCAGATGAACATGAAATCATGTTTATAAATGTTTTAAACAAATCATCCTTCAGGGGGCGATCGGTGGCCATACAGCCAATGCTCCATTAAACTGTATTCAAATCTAAAATCTGTTTTCATTACATTTTTATGCTAAAAACAATATATTCTTTTAAAGGTTTGCCACCTAACACACGCAAATGAATATTCTCCCCCAAATTACTAAAAACAATATTTTTTTTCCAGTAACCGAAAACAGCAGTGATTGGTCCGCTTAGTCAGCGCTGATTAAAGTAACACGTACCACGTGACAACTACTCCGCGTTTAAAACGTTCTGGACAATAATTTATTTGTAAATAATGACTGCGACTAACTTTATTGGACATTGACAAGACAAATTACAGTGAAAATACATGAAATATAAAAAATTATTAATATTTAGATCCGTCGGCTGGTTAGTCCCCGCCCATCTTTAATTCGAATCGCCATTTTGTTTACACCTTTGCTCTGTTTCCGAAGCGTCCACGTCTCGTGGGTGGAGCGAGTTTCTCTTAAGCACACGTAGACTAAACCAGTTCATCAGTCCGAGATCACACTTCAACTGATCACAAACCTCTATCTCGTCTTTTTCTTTAATAATAACAGCAGAAGATGGTTGCAAAGCAGAGGATTCGCGTGGCGAATGAGAAACACAGCAAGAACATCACTCAGAGAGGCAATGTGGCCAAAACTACGGTAAATCACCGCTCTGACTCTTACTATAGTCATTATTTTGATATATATGTTATCTAAAATAGCACTTACTGCTTTGTTTGCGTTACAGTAAACGCTTACTTCGTTTATTTATGTGAACTTGCACTGGACATCAGTGTAATATGTCCATTTGATCATATTTAGTATGTTAATTTGATCATATTGTCTTTAATTTTTTCATAATTTAGCTCTCTGTTAATGTTAATATACTAATGTTGATATATTCTCACCAGAGAGTCTCTCAAGAAGAGAAGGCAGCGGTGGGACCTTGGCTTCTTGCCTTGTTTGTCTTTGTAGTATGTGGATCAGGTGAGTTGACAACCCGAAAAACATCATTAAATGTGTTGTCTAATTAATTCTTTGAATTCACTGATGACTTTTTCAATCAAGTACATGCAATCAGCATTGCAGACTGTGAACTTTATTTCATGACCCCATGTTTAAAGGGACAAAGTGCAGACTGATTTCAAAACAACTACATTTAAATGACTTGGTTTCTTCCAACACGATACCATTAAGTATTTTTAAGTCACGCGTTAGTTTTAACTAGTGTTGTAATATTGGGTTAATAATAAAGGGAAATGTCTACATACTTTAGTTTATTGACATTTGGAGTTCAAAAAGAGTTTATATACACCTTATTCATTGGTGATGTGCTCTAACCGTCATGCACTTTAATTTAAGACAGCATAAAATCTCATCCACATGCAGTTTGTTCTTTTGTTTTCTTCTGATGAACGTGCACAGAAACTGAGCAACCTCAAAACACAAATAAAATATGAGCAGATAATAGGAATTCTTTACCATTAATATTATATAATATTTTGTTCTAATGTTGTTTTTCTGTCCTCTCACGACAGCGATATTCCAGATCATTCAGAGCATCAGGATGGGAATGTGAAATGAACGGTCATCAGCGTTGTACATCAGTTTGCTCTTTGCTCCTGAAGATCGCTTGATCAATCCTCTTTTCTTATTTAATCTTTGTCTTTTTCACCACAACACCACAGTCTCTTGTGCCTTACTCAAAAGCTGGAGGAACATTATCTTTGGGGAATTCTGTCAATATTGCTGCTGAATCCTAGGCAATAAAATACAAATGACTGTTTGAATTTTTTCTGTGGAAAAAAAAACACACGTTTGTTGAAATGAAATGCTGCATTGAATTTTTCTATGCTCTAGATTTTGGACCAGTTCATGTTAAAGTGCCCCTATTATGGATTTTTGAAAATTACCTTTCATGCAGTGTGTAACACAGCTCTAAGTGAATGAAAACAACTCGCAAATTTTTCAATCTAAAAGTGCACCGTGCATAAAGTTGTCTCTCAAAAGAAAGAGTCGACTCTGAATCACTGAAACGAGTCGTTTTAAAAACAATTCCCAAGCCGTTTCATGTTGACGTCAACATGAAACATTAGCATATTGCCCGCCCACTTGTTGGTCTTTTCCTGTTGGTCTGAATGAAAATGCAAATTCATTCTTTGTCACTAGGTGCGCTGTTGGAGCAGTAAAAATAGCGGTTTCCCCGGGAACGCTGTACACAAAGCAGCACTGCGCTCACAAACGCTGCTTTATCAGGCATCACAGGCATAATGAAATGAAAATGAGACCAATCGGACCAATCACCGCAGATTAGCATCATGCAGAGGAGGGGTTTAGAAAAATGAATCATTGAGCGAATTGTTTGGGAGTCGTTGAGCAAGTAAGGTAAAAACAAATGCATATTATAAGACAATGAAAGTGTTTTTTGACCTTGCATGCATGTCAACCTGTTGTTGGGGACTCCCAAAACCAAAATATGAACCTTTCATAACCCATAATAGGGGCACTTTAATTGTTATCATTATTTGGTACTATGCACCTTTATTGGATTTTCCTCTACATTTAGAGCTGAATGTGTGTTCTTTGACTCTTCGCTCAAGGAAATGAAGGTCCACATATTCAGTTGTATGTGTAGAGAACATGAAAAATAAAAAAAAGACTTTTAAAATGTCTCTCTTTTTTGTCTTTGTAAATATAAAGCCAGTTTTCAACTGTTGGTCCGTGGACTGATATAAAACCCATCATTAAACAAATGTAAATCTCTGCTGGCTGTTAGCATAATGTGGTAATGGTTGTTTATAATAATTTTTTTTTTTAATTAAAATAATACAGTGAAATAATACAAAATAATACAATTATAATATAGTTAAAATTTTTGATTAAAAATGATTAATTTAGGGGTTTTTGTGTTGACAACCCAATTCTCAGTTTTATAAAATGACCAGTAGGGGGCATTTGCTTATTTATATATTTAAATTACATGATAGGTCAATGCATTTTTCATTACATGTCTTTTATTTATTTAGTCATTTAGCAGACGCTTTTATCCAAAGTGACTTACAAATGAGGACAACAGAAGCAGTCAATTGTAGTATTAAAACAACTAAAAACAGATACAAAACTAAAAGCTAAAACTTTATAAATACTACCTATACACATTTTAAAAATAAAGAGATTAAATAAAAATGACAAATGCATACAACATTTCAAAACTTCACATTTAAATGAAAAACAAAAAATAAAGCTAAAAAAATTCAAAATATTAAAGAACAAAAGGTATGAGTATAATAATGATTCTAACATATATAAGCCAAACACCAAAAAAACAACTACATATGTGTGTACAACCACACACACACATACACATATACTGTATGTGTACATACACATTTATAAATTCAATATATATATTATTTCATTTCCATTTAATTTGTTGAAGTATTAAAATAACTCAAATCTAAAACTTAATAAAAGACCTATACAGACATAATCAATTCAGACATAATTTAACTAAAATTAAAATAAATAACAAATACAAATAATACAAATCAAACGACAGTAATTTATCAGTAATCCTAAAAAATAACACTGCTAAAAAAAACACATATGCTAAAAAACAACAACTTGCTTACACATAGTAAGAAATGGTTATAAAATCTATAATATACAGTGGTGTGAAAAAGTGTTGGCCCCCTTCCTGATTTCTTATTTTTTCCCCAAATCCGTCAGACTTCTTTTCTTTTAAATTAGCATTTTTTATCAGGCTCCTGTGTTCACGTTCAGTAGTTTCATTTTAAAGGTAATGATAAGGTTATTAGTCAGTGAATAAAATAACTTTTCTTCAAAAATGTCACTTTAGACAATTCATTGGTTTTTAACAAATTGGATTTTCTTTTGCGTGAAAACCAGCTAAATCCACTTGTGCTTTTTTCGCAAAAGCCTCTAAATCCACCTCTTTGGGACAAGACAGTAAATAGTTGAAAAATCACTAAAGATGTAACTAGAAACACTGAAAAAGAGGAGAGCACAATCATTTCAAAACTAAACAGTAGACAAAACTCTTTACACGGGGGTTGAATGAGATCTGCGTTTATTTGCCAATCCCACCCCATTTCTCTGCAGTCAACCTTCTGCCCTGTCTGAATAAAGGCAAAAAGCCCCAAAAATATAAAAAACAACAAAAAAGAAAGATTCACACAGTATAACCACAATGGCACAAAATGGCAGCACATTTATTTTAACAATACAAAAAACAGATGTTGCACAAACATTTAATTAAAAATACATTAAAAATACATGAATCTGTCAAGTAAGTGCATTAAGTCAGTAACATTAAATTGACAATAAAATCTTAACAATCATGTCATTTCTGATATTTGGGATTTAGATTCAAGTAGAACAATGTAAACATTGTAAACAAAGCTTATTAGATTAAAATAGTGTAGTGTATAATCAAGCATGTATGTGAGAACAGTGCAAAACATTCTGATAAAAACTCAAGACACTTTTTTGAAGTGTAAAATAACAGTCTGAATAAAAACATCAATATTTCCCATGCCCACCAATATCAAAATGTGCTACGTGCAACTAGTATAAAAAAGCTTATCCGATTCAAATAGTTTAGTGTATAATCAAGTAGAACAGGCATATAAGTGTATGACTTTTATATGTCATACACTCCCTTCTGCAAGAGTTGATCAATTATAACCGCAAAACTAATATTTTTTTCTTTGATTCATGTTATTTGAGTCATATAAACACACTTTTGAATCAGACATTCAACATTTGAATCATATAAACAAACTTTAAATCAAGATTTGGATGCACTTATGCCTTGAATTAGTTTTATCTCAGATCAAGCGTTGACATTTATTTATCATGCCATTTTCCTACATAAAAAGAAATTATGAACACCTCTATTACTTAGATATTAAAAATGTATTAAAATAAATAAATAACATTTATTTATTCAACTTAAAATATATTTTTTAACAAAAATATCCATATTTGTCAGCTACCCTCATATGCAAGCATAAATGTACTGGTTGGCATTTTTATAGTTTTTTTATAGTTTGTTTTATTGTTTGTTATATATTCATAGCTATATTTTTTCATTGTGTTTGTGTGTAAAACAATAAAAAATATAGCTATTAATAAAAAAAGTAATAAATCGCCTAATAATAAATACACAGAAAGATTAATAAGCAGAGGAAAGTAAATTAAACCCCAATTCCTATTACTTGTTTCACTTCTGTTTCAGTTTTTATAACCATTTCTTACTATGTGTAAGTAAGTTGTTGTTTTTTAGCATGTGTGTTTGGCAGTGTTATTTTTTAGGATTACTGATAAACTACTGTCGTTTGATTTGTATTATTTGTTATTTATTTTAATTTTAGTTAAATTATGTCTGAATTGATTATGTCTGTATAGGTCTTTTATTAAGTTTTAGTTTTATTTAATTTGAGTTATTTTAATACTTCAACAAACTAAATGGAAATGAAATAATATATATATGTAGTTGTTTTTTTGGTGTTTGGCTTAGTGTTATGTTAGAATCATTATTATACTCATACCTTTTGTACTTTAATATTTTGAATTGTTTTTAGCTTTATTTTTTGTTTTTCACTTAAATGTTAAGTTTTGACATTTTTGTTGTATGCATTTGTCATTTTTATTTAATTTCTTTATTTTTAAAATGTGTATAAGTAGTATTTATAAAGTTTTAGCTTTGGATCTTTAATACTACAATTGATTGCTTCTGTTGTCCTTATTTGTAAGTCACTTTGGATAAAAGCGTCTGCTAAATGACTAAATAAATAAAATAAATAAATTCACATTTTTATTGTGAGAAGTGACGCGAGTCTGCCTCTGGTTGCTCGTTTCTGTCCTCGCTCGGGCTCCGTTACATCCCGGTCTGCCCTCTGCGCATGCGCACTGCCGCTGTCCGCGCTCGTGAGGATCCTGCGGGAGTGTTAGCTGTGTAATGGCGGCTTCGGTGTTGCTCTCCGCGGAAAGCGCCGTGCCCTCTTTTACCGTCGGCCATCCCGCCGGAGCGGCGGCGGCGGGAACTACTCCTCACGGATTATCCAATGCTCCCGGACCCGCGTCCTGGAACCGCTCGCTGGACCGGGCGCTGGACGAGGCGGCGGCCACCGGAACGCTCACCCTGAGCGGCAGGAAGCTGAAGGAGTTCCCGCGGAGCGCCGCCGGACACGACCTGACCGACACCACCCGGGCCGGTACCGAGCCAAATCTTTATATTCTGTTCCCCTTCAACCGTTAACTCACCCACAAGCTACATTAAAGCCGCAGCGGGCGAGTTTTACACTAGTTTACACTGTGTTTGACTGGTGTAAACACGCGGGTGTGTGCTGGGCTGGAAGCCCATCTGAGCTCATGATCAGCCATTTGTGTCCAATAAATGTGAACGTTTCACCTTCAGGAATGAGCTTTGTCTAAAGTTGAGATTAACTCGTAAACTTTCAGGTCATGGTTGATGTTAATGGGACACTTGAGGAACATGCGTCAGATATCTGTCGAATTCAGCTCCGTGTACGTTACCTTAGTTTATGTGAGACCCAAACAGGTTTGATCATCTTGTTGGCTTTATAAGGTCTGTTTATGAGGTTTTGAGGTATGCAGTCATATTAAAGGGTTTCATCTTTAAAGGGTTAGTTCACTTCCAAAATAAAATTTCCTGGTAGTTTAATTTAACGTACTCACCCTCATGTCATCCAAGATGTTCATTGGCTTTCTTTCTTTAGTAGCAAAGAAATTAAGGTTTTTGAGCAAAACATTCCAGGATTTTTCTCCATATAATGGAATTCAATGGGGACCAACGGGCTGAAGGTCCGAAATGCAGCTTCAAAGGGCTCTACACGATCCCTGCCGAGGAATACGAGTCTTATTTGGCGAAACCATCTGTCATTTTCTTAAAAAATAAAAATGTATACTTTTTTACGACAAATGCTCGTCTTGCACTAGCTGGACTTTACGCCTTACATAGTCATGTTGGAAAGGTCACGCGTGACGCAGGCGGAAGCACCAACCCAGTGTTTACAAAGAAAACGTGCAAAGAAAGTCAAAAGCCCTTTATAAAAAAGGTGGATCTTGAAGTTGGAGGAGAAAATGAGATGGAGTTTTTCACCCAACCCTACCTTTTTGAACCGGAGCACACAGACTAAGAGCTGTGACTTTTCCAATGTGATTACGGAATTTACGGACGCACAATGCGGAGCTAGAGCAAGACATGCATTTGTGGTTAAAAAGTATACATTTTTATTTTTTAGTAAAATGACAGATGGTTTCGCTAGATAAGACTCTTATTCCTCGGTTGGGATCGTGTAGAGCCCTTTGAAGCTGCAATTTAGACCTTCAGCCCGTTGGTTCCCATTGAAGTCCATTATATGGAGAAAAAACCTGGAATGTTTTCCTCAAAAACCTTAAATTCTCTGCGACTGAAGAAAGAAAGACATGAACATCTTGGATGACATGAGGGAGAGTAAATCATCAGGACAATTTTATTCTGGAATGGAACTAATCCTTTAAGTAGACAGAGGTTTGAACTTGCTGAGTTGTTTGACCATATGAGATCCAGCGAAAGCTTTTGATGATGAAAATATTGATGGGTGGTTGCTGGTCATATGAATCAGGGGTTTTATAATCTTTTAGATGCCATGGACCCCCAAACATAATCATCCTCGTCCAAGGGACCCCATCCTAAATTTAAAAGGCTTCTGTATATTTTTTCATGTTTAAAGACGCAATTTATTCTGTGAAAAATTAGTAATATAAATGTGTAAAATATTTAGTTTTCTATTATGTGACATTGTAACATGTCATTTTTGTTTAATTTAATAATATTAAAGTATATATATATATATATATATACATACATATACACGTGCTGTATTTTATTATTATAGTAGATGAACAGATGCTTCACTGATTATTCCAATCAATCTATTGCTTTTTAAAGCGCATGTATGTGTATAGTGACTGAGAATTATATTATTGGTACTATTACTCACTATTCAAAATTTTTTTAAATACCTGCCTCTTACGCACATCAAAACAGGACCTACTGTATTCAAACGAAACTAGTAATGTAGCTTGCTTATCTGACACGTACAGGTGCAGGCATTATGGTTTAGGAGTTTCTAGACGTGTTCGGACATGTGATTTTCATTTCATCGCACGAATGGCAATCAGAAAAGCAGTGTGTCCTGCATGAGAGCTGTATAAGGACCCCATATGTGACCCTGGAGCACAAAAGCAGTCTTAAGTCGCTGGGGTATATTTGTAGCAATAGCCAAAAATACATTGTATGGGTCAAAATTATAAATTTTTCTTTTATGCCAAAAATCATTAGGATATTAAGTAAAGATCATGTTCCATGAAGATATTTTATACATTTCCTACCATAAATATATTAAAACTTAATTTTTGATTAGTAATATGCATTGCTAAGAACGTCATTTGGACAACTTTAAAGGCGATTTTCTCAATATTTCTCAAGATTTTTTTGCACCCTCAGATTTTCAAATAGTTGTATTTCAGCCAAATTTTGTCATATCCTAACAAACCATACATCAATGAAAAGCTTATTTATTTCAGATGATGTATAAATCTCAATTTAGAAAAATTGACCCTTATGACTGGTTTTGTGGTCCAGGGTCACATATATTAATACAAAGAGTTATATTTTACGTTGCATAAAACCTCTTTAAATGAGTCGTGTGTACAGTAAAACCAGTCCAGGCTATATAAACATCTGTCTGAAGGTTTTTACGGACTGCTGTATCTTTTAAGTGTTTGCATGACTGGTAAATCCCTAAATGACTACCTAATTGATCGGCATGCAGATAGTCAGGTTCATTACTCTTCTTAAAAGTTATGAAAATGTCACAGTGACATCTTTGTGTGTACAGTTGCTTTGTGGTTTTCAGTTCAGTGTAAGTGTTGTGGACAAATTGCTGATGTTTGAGAAAATGAACATTTAATTTAGTTTTATTTGCACAAAGTATATGATGCATAATGTCTCAAATTACCATTGCAAAGGGAAGATAGAGGCAGAAAACTATTATTGTAGCTATAACTATTATTTATTGTAGATATCAGTTATATAACAAGGAGCTAATTGCATTGCTTAGAAATTTAGATGCATAATTCACAAAAGCATTTTATATTTAATGTTGTAGGGAATAAAGTGGTGTTTCTTAATGCAAGTATTACTATTACTGCTCTTATTTAACAAAGCCTAGGTCTAGTAAGTGTTACCCCGGTTAGCCGACTTGTATTGTGTTGCACGGTCTGAAAATAGGAAATGGTCATCGTAGCTCAGGACTACAGCTCTGATCCTGAGCATGCTTGGTGTCTTGAGTCTGTGTCAATATTGATCGTCTGTGAAGTGCATGCTGGGATCCACACAAAAATCTCTTGATTTCGTTCTCATCCAAAGCCGGTTCACAAAAATGCAGACCGTAGGAATGAACGGGGAAAAAATAAAGGAAAGCTTTCAATGCTTTTCAACCCCCAAAATAGTTCTATTGCTTTGCTGTGAGTTTGTTATGGTTTGCTAATGACAGATTGTGAGTGCCATACTTTGTTTCTGCCAGAGAGTTTATGGGTCTTTTTTTAGCGAGGTCATTTTCGGGTGATAATAGCAGTTTAACATTGCCTCTTGATTCTGACGGAGAGGTTTATCAATAATGACATTTTGCTTTTTTTTGTTGTTTTGTTTTTCTGTGAAGGCCTCTTGTTACATTTATGAGAAAAAGTGACAGCTGTGATTGGCAGAAATTGAGTAAACAATGTTTCTGACATTACAAGATGCATTTAATGATATATATATATATGATATTTAGTATATATAAACCTATTCTAACTTCTTACGTCTGCATTGTACAATACTGATATACCAGCATAATTATACAACTATGTAGATTTTTACAATAATGTATTTCATACTTTTTTTCTTCCAGAGATCTTAACTTAACTTAAAGGGATAGTTCACCCAAAAATGAAAATTCTGTCATTAATTACTCACCCTCATGTCGTTCCAAACCCGTAAGACCTTTGTTCATCTTCGGAACACAAATTAAGATATTTTTGATGAAATCCGAGAGCTTTCTGACCCTGCATAGACAGCAGTGCAACTGAAATGTACCCAGGCACAGAAAGTAGTAAAGACATCGTTAAAATAGTCCATGTGACATCCAGTGGTTCAACTGTAATGTCATGAAGCTGCGAAAATACTTTTTTCGCTCAATGAAAACAAAAATGGTGAACTATCCCTTTAAATCTTTACAATACAAAATGGTAAAATTGAACAAATTGCCCTGTAAAATCTAATATCATTTTTCATTTTAAGTAACCTACAGAGAAATAATTAACACTTTTTTTAATGGTGACTTTTTCCAGTGTAGGCATCTTTACACAGCTGAGTTAAGGCTGCTCTGTGCCTGCTTAAAATCTAGTTTAAAGATGCAATGTCATATAAAATCCATACTAAATTATGCCAGCTCTGACCCACTTCAGCCCCTAGTATTATAGTATACAGTTGTGAATGCTGTGAACATGCATTTATGCCACCTCTGAGCAGCATTAAACAGTCTGTGGAAAGACACCTGAATGCCGCTTTAGAAGCGCTTCTGTGCCACCTTTGCAATGTAAATGAGGCACAACAGCGTTACATGGTAAATAACTTACAGCTGAGCAATAACAGGTTTTTCAGGAAGCATTTTAACCTCTTTTTCAGTTAAAAGTGCTAACATTTCTTACAGTATGTGAAGTCATTTTAATCAGTCACAGATCTGAATGCTCCACCTGCGGTGTAATCTAAAAATGCGTCATTGAAATGATCTGTTGGCTGTTCATCTTGAATAATTCATAGTCAAGCAGCTATTGTTGAGAGTGTTTGTAAGTCTCTGCTGACTTGACGTGATATTTGACCTCAGATATTTCCTCGTCTGATTGCTTTGGCTGTGTTGTCCTGTGAACTGTGCCAAATGTACTGGTCTCCTGCTAAGGAACGCTGTCTTCCCTCAGCGCAGAAGACTCAGAACAGGTGTCCTCCCTCGGAGAGCGATTACAAGGCCTTCTGGACCACTGTCAATTCAGCGTCACCAGCAGTGCGGACAGCACCATTGTCCCCGCTGACTGTTTAATTAACTTCAGACGCCCATTTAGAAATGTGTGCTGTATTTATTTCTAGCTGCTGTTGTCTTGTCAGTCAGTT